ACAAGTGTGCGTATCCCAACTGCAAAATATACCAATGATGGCTAATAAGAATGCAGCGATTGTCCATTCTGCTATCCTGGCGACCCGTATATCGGCAGTGGCGATGGCAGCTACGACTACTGCTTGAGCTACTGCAAATGCCTTCCATTCGCTTGACATGGTCTGAGAGTCTCTGTAGTCGTGCTAACTATCTGTACCATGCAAACGACCGTGCATTTCTTTTCTGTCCCTGAGCCCCTAGGACCTCACTCGGATAAATGATTTTGGGGTGCCCAAGCAAGCCGAAAAGCTTCTAATTCGAGACTGCGTTGCGCTGACATTTTGATTATCAGTTGAGATAGAATCGACAGCCTTCAGAAACCCAGGTACCATCTGTCAACAATGTCATCTTTGCAAAGTCGCGTCCTATCTATAATACAAAGGAGTACGGTCTTTATGCCACGTGGTATAAAGAGTCAAACAACGTGGCCTCCGGTCTCCGACTTTCCGAAACTTCTGTGGCCTACCAGTGCTGCGCGTTCGAACTTCGCGTTGACTTCGCGACGTGCTGGGAGCCACTGCACGATAACATACCAGCTGTCAGCATTTCTGTCCTACGCGCGATACTACGTTATCAAATTCCACTTTCTGCACTGGTCATATACAATTTAGATTTTACTACTATAGGTGGCAACATCACATCCCTGGTTATTTGTACGATGTCTGGAGAGACTATTCCCTGGTACGACCTGGGAACAAGCGCAGTCTCCCCCCCCCCTCAGCGACAAGTTTGCTATGGAATAGGAAGCATTTTTCGCCGCGATGGACGAGCCAATCGCCGCAGATGCCTGTGCGGATTATATTGCGGATTGGTATCATAAACTATGATCCGCCAGGTTATGCAATAGTTATACAAAATCGGCACCTGCATTTCAATGGGCTGGCAGTGTGCGTGTCTTAAACTTCATACTTTTTTGCATGAGAGCTCACTTCAATTTTCTGAGGCTGAAATCTCTCCCCATTGTGCTGGGGCCACGGCGCCGACGCCCGAAGGGGCGGCGGCGCAAGTGGCCATTGTGAAATTGTAACTGATCGATTACATCTCACCAGGCACCCGACCTGTGGCTTGATGTACTCCAATTTATTTACCTCTAAATATGAAAGGTGACGGTCGTCACAAAACCTTGCGTCCCAGATTTAGGTGCAAATGTAGCATTCAACGACCTGAAATTATGTGTGCATAACCTTCGTACATTGCTAGCTTTGTCGAAACTCTTCATTATCCAACCGATGTCAGTATGTTACAGACCGGTTCTTGAGACGAAGAAAGTGTCTGAATGGATACAATTTGACACCTCAAGATTTGTCAGTGTAATATAAGTACTAGCCTTAACCCATGGTTTCGCTATCTCTGATAGTCTGATTGTGTTCGAAGCTCAGTTTCAAGCCGTAATTCTGGAAGGCCACTCGCCACCACCCTTCGGGTGCTGGCTTCGTGGCCTCTGAATCCCGCATCTGTGTCCAGTGTATTGCGATCGTAATTACTTCCTCAATTCAGTTTCGATACAAACTCGCTGTGTATTTTGCTGGCGAATATGCTCTGACAGCTGCAGTACTTATCGCCCACAAATGTTACAACTGCGCATGCTAGGCCTCTATAGATAATTCCTTAATACAGTGATATTTTCTCACGGTGGCAGAATGTTTCAGGTGTCGCCACAATTTTCAAACCAAGACCTTGCTAAGACGCAAGGTGACTTATAGGCACTTAAGCCATTTTATTCTCTTGCATGCTTTCTCATCAAACCGTTTAACTTCTGAGATACCAATTCGATCCGAAAGCTCCCGTAGCGAAGCACGGGTCTCTGCTAATAATTAGTGAAATCAGTTCACGCGACGGGCCACGTGATCTCTGACATAGCCAGCGAAATCAAAATCAAAATCAAGCATATCAGCCTTAGTCCGAGTTTGTTTGTCTGTCAAGTACATATATTTCATCCACAGTGGATCTCCGATAGCTGTTTTGCGCAAGGCAAATCGTTAATGTTGCCAATATTAAAACCAATACCCTGTAACCAAAGTGTTTCAAGGCTATCGTGGGGTTTGGGAGTCACAGGAGCTGAGATGGAGCTCCAAAATCACGTCATTCGCACCGCAGATAGCGCTGAATTGGTTGAAATCTGTCCCGGCGCCATAATCTATCTCATCTCGAACTGCTCTGCATTTAACACCACCGCACACCTGAGAACGACCTCACCTGACGCTCCTTTTGAAGGCAAGGACACGGAAGTGCCGTTCCTGGGCACATGCAAAACCGATGCGGCAAAGAACAGCGAGGCATCCGACGGTGTCGGTGACTGTGAGGCTAACGATACGGTCCTCTCTACCCCCGAGATCGGGCGGAAGGGCATACAATGTGACGGACTCCGAGGCCGATGAGTGAGCGCTGACCACTGTCCGGGCTTGCAAGGTATTTCAGATTGGCTAGAACCGACCTTGTGGATAGCGGATAGGGAACGGGAAAAGCCGAGCGAGTACCTGAGCAAATAACATGCGCAGGCTGAAGGATACTGAGGTACAGATGAGTAAGGCCTAAAGTTGCTTCCTGGATCGATATGGATAGTGATACTTGTACTGGATTTGGATCGAGTTTATGACCGTTGCTTCCGCGCTGATGTTCGTCACAGGTGTATCAGATATCGGCGTTTTCAGTTCGGAGCACCCTATGCAGGCAGGCCGGAAGGACGAGGTAGGTCTGAGATCCGCTTGGTGTAATGACAGCGGTGAAACAGGGTGAGACGGATAGGAACTATTAGATAGTCGCGGATATCGAGTTCGCTTACTAGTAGGGGTGTATGTTGGGTGTTTGTTGAGATCAGCGAACGAGGCCACCCCACTTCGCTATGGCCATTATTGACGTAGGGACCACATGGGCAAACGCAAGCGTTATTCGGCTCAGACCCAAGCGCTCGTATATCAGCAGGTCGCGTATTCCACGTCAGCCAGAGTCCTTGCTGTGGACTGACTTCGAAATTCGGATTGCCAGTGATGTTTTGGGAACACTCGATCGCTATTAGAGTTAGATCCGGAAAATTAAGAGTTATATCCGAAACTTAGCTATAAACAGAGTGAGCAGATCGCTGAATCGCGCCAGACGTCGCATGGAGGCGAGACTCGGAGAGACGCGCAAATAGCAATCCTCAAGCAGCCGCAGTCATGATACATGATGCATGATCACTGGTACCGGCGGCCTCTGAGGCTGAGGCTCGGTTAAACACCTTCTGGTTTCATGCGTTGACCGCCCTTCTCTCAGTACTGCGATGTCCTCCGTCCGCCAGGTCTTGTCCTTCATGATTCTCTCAATATTCTTATTATACTTTCTTTCTAATATCTTCACTTTCAACGTCAAGAATGCCGAAGTTGGCGAGCAAGACCGTACGAGCAATCAGCTTTACCTGGACGATAGACTCACCTGACAAACCCCTCTAGTTTTCCCCGATTTTTCGCATTATAGCGGAACTCGAACCCTGTCTGAGAAAGAATTCCACATAGGTCCGCATGCCCTCTCCCCCTCCCCCGCGTCCCTCTAAAGACCACATGTTCACAGGCGATCACGATCAGCGAACAATTATTGTCGGTGATGTGCATGGCTCCCATTCATCCTTGCAAAAGCTTCTTCGCAACCTCTCCTACGACCGGACCTACGACCATCTCATCCATGTTGGCGATGTCATCGCCAAGGGCCCGTATTCTGGGTCGATGGCCGTGCTACAGTACATGACTACGCACAACGTTACCGGCGTGCGCGGAAACCACGACCAGAAGGTCATTGAATGGCGCGCATGGCGGGAGTGGATACATGGCCATCCAGGAGGAAAGGCGTGGCTGCGACAACTGGATGCGGACGGGGACGAGATAATGGAGCTGGAAGGAATGCCGAGCGCAAAGTGGGTTGACAAGGAATTGAAGACTCTGGATTTGGGCAAATGGAGGAAGAAGATTCCAGAGGGATGGCAGCTCTTCAGCGACCACTACAAGATTGCACGGAAGATGAGCGCGGCGCAATTTGAGTACCTGTTGTCGCTTCCGATCATCTTGCATGTGCCTTCTGCGCACACATACATCGTCCACGCTGGCCTCCTTCCGTACGACCCCACACGCCCCGAGTCTCACCGCCGCCAGCCGCTAGCGCACCTCCCCACTCTGGTAAAGAAAGGCAAAGTTGCCCAGCTGCGGCTCGCGCAGGAGCTCGCGGTGCTGCATGACATCCCGCAGAACACCGACCCATGGGCGAACCTCAATATTCGCAGTGTCGATCACAAGGAAGTCACTAAGAGCTCGAAGAATGGCACTCCATGGTCGGACTTGTGGAACGATGCTATGGGGAAGTGTGCTGGCGACTCCATGGTGGAAGTGCACAAGAAGAAGGATTCCATGCCATGTTGGCCTGCGACCGTCATTTATGGGCATGCGGCGTCGAGAGGTCTGGATATCAAGCGGTGGTCGTTTGGGACTGATTCGGGCTGCGTACGTGAAGTCTTTGCGCGCATAACACAGTAACGCTGACAGAATTTTTGATGTAGGTATATGGCCGTCGGCTGTCCGCTTTGGTCCTTGACGCCCATTCCTCCATCGAAGTTGACTCAGAGGACGCGGACTTGCAGAAACTCCCATATGGCGATAACCGTTACAGTCGCATCGTCAGTGTGAAATGCCCAGATCTGGATATCTAAACTATACTATTTGCACGTATACCCTTCTTGAATATCTACTAGTCAGATAATTGACATTTTTATGGCCCTTACATGTTATATCTTTAGCTTAGATGCCTCGACAGTATCGAATGGCTTAATGACAACAATCCCTTCACATCCTATAAAGGAACTCCAACTAGACTCAAACATCACTAGAGAAAAAAAGGGTCATATGTGGCCTTCGGTTTCTGAAGCTTCGAATTCGAGAGATCAAAATTAGATGGCTGCGCCTTGACGTCCACAGCAAGCGTCCGGGCAATGTTCGTTTGCTCGGTATGAGGATCGAACTCATGATCTCCGGATTGCGTGATGCACTCATCACTCATATTGCCATATGAGACCGGCGCTCTAACCAGCTGAGCCAACCAAGCGATGAAATATAGGTACACTCGTGCAGAGCCGTTTCTGAGTACACAAAATTTGACGACCTCCAGGCACGACCTTGTAGTTTCTCGCGGTGATTGCGGGAATGAACATCGCGCCTGTCCGTCTACTTCCATTCACTGCCTGTATGTACCAGCGACCATTTCCTGCCGTCATTCCGCTGATCATTGGCAGATAATTACCTTCACACTCAGTCCGACTCCTAGGTACCTGATTGATCCAATTGCAATGAAACAAGGACTGCGGCAAGCTGCGGCAGTCCAATTGTGAAAAGAGCCCAGAAAGCGCCGGATATTTGACGGGTATGTTCCCTCCGAGCTCTAACTCGCCAAGCCTGATCGTTTACTTTCTCGACGGGCCATTCGCTTGGTCGCGCGGCAAGATAGGCAAAGCAAGCGGCTGTTTCTACTCTACTAACAAGCGACATGCATCTGAACTCTTGGCATTTGCCGTAATCGCTATCTCTAGCGATCTCCCAAAGGGGCCGTGAGCGCATTGCTCATGCATACTCGTGCATCGCAGCGGCTGCATCTGCGACCCACTTTCCGCAGCCGACCGAATCGATGGGTTCAGAACCGAGGTTTATAAACGACAACTGTTCGCTTATGGACATTCGCCTCCCCTTCCCTCTTAATCATGCGCCCTCCAAGAAGCGTGCTTCTATGTGCCCTGTTCATCACTGCTGTTCGCGCTCTGTTAGTTCCAGAGAACGACAGAACCATAGGTCTAAACAACGTTTTGGCCCGCAATGGGGATCATCATCACCAAGGAACTGTCTTACTGGCGCTGAACGAGACTGATGTGCTTATGGGACATGGCCCTACCCCACCCTCTTATTGGACGATCGATGTTGTAGAAGGGTCGGGGCATGCTGGCTTGATGGTGCTACACGTTATCTTCATGTGCGCTGCTTTCTTCGTAGCACTTCCTGCGGGTAAGTTTCAAGCTGGTCGTGATGGAAGTCTATAACTAATCAGTGCGCAATGCTTCCCAGCTATTGCATTGCGATCCGTGAAACACGTATGGCACAGTGTTGCCGTATGTGCCTTCTACATACTTTGCATCATTGGCTGTTCCACGAGTTCACTCTATACTAAAATCACTCCCCAAATGTAAGCATCCAAAGGTTCAACAATGCCAACGAGGACTAACGCGCCACACGGTCAGGTATGAAGATCAAAAGCACTCTCGACATGGATACTTTATATTTCTGGTGGCCATTTGCGTGTCGGTTATCGACTGCATGGCTGTGGTGGGACGCATCATGGGTTATTTCAGGACCGCCGATAGGCGGAAGTTTACTTTCAGGGACTTCTGGCGCTATGTCATTCTGAATCGGGAGAGCGTGGCATCAGGCTCACTTGCAGAGTACATTGGTCTCGTTCCAGGGCCAGAGGAGTATGGCTATACCGAGATGGCCATGGAGGCCATCGGCCACGATGAAGAGCCAGCTCACGCTCGTCGTAACCAGCCTGCTCTTCAACAACGTCAATTGTATACCGATAGGGATAATACTCAGCGCTCGATACACTGGGAAAACGATGTTCACGATCACGATCACGCAAGATCTACCATCCCAGAACGCACATCTGTCGATATCCTGTCGCCCCGAAAGCATCATTCGAACGCCGCATCAGACGACATCGACTATATTCCTTCCGGCCCCAAAGCACTATTGCTGCATCATATAGGCCGCGTGGCCATTGGGGCCATCGAGCGGGGCCTTGTCATTGGTGGATTTGTACAGCTGCTCAGCGGTGTGGTTGTCTATACTGGGGGTTGTAGGGGCAATTACTTCAATGGCTGCCTGGCGCACCTGGTCAAGGGTGGAATTTTCTGGTGTTACGGGCTTCTCACATTCGCCCGGTTCCTTGGTTCATTCGCTGACCTCGGTTGGGCATGGAATCGGCCACCACGCAGTGGCTATGTCAGCGCAGAGTTCGTCGAATCGTTTTTGATCTTCACATACGGCATCACGAATACATGGATGGAACGGTGGGGTGCTCATCCAGGCGATCCATTCACCACTAAGCAGCTGCAGCACATCAGCATCGCCGTCAGTCTTTGTGAGCCATCTTTTTCACACATGCTTAAGCTAATTCCGCACCAGGTGATGTTCTGGTTTGCAGGTTTGATTGGAATGGGTATTGAGTTGAAGCGCGTACGCGAATGGCTTGCGGAGTCGGCAATGCCTGCGCAGGGTGGATCTCAATCTGCAGAGGCCATAGTCGAGCCCCCCAGCTATGCAGCTAGTTTCAACCCATTCCCGGCTTTGGTCATCGGTGTAACGGGGGCAGCCATGAGTGCGCATGCGCAAGCATACGTCTTCCAGGTACGATGTCATCCACGCTCCCTATATCTCATTAAATGACCCCCATACAGGTTCAAATACACGCAGTTTGGGGATACTTGCTTTTAGGATTCGCGATTTTGCGATGCTTGACATATTTCTTCCTTTGGCTGGGACCCCCGAGCTCCATACTGCCGTCAAGGCCTCCGACTGAAGCTCTGGGCAGTTTCTTCCTTGCTTGTGGTGGTTTGATGTTTATGTTTAGTACCGAAGAATTGACCTTCGCAGCGATGAGGCAAGGTCGTGATGGTTAGTAAAGTTTTCAAGACAACAGTTTCTGTAATACTAATGAATACTCCCCAGATATGATGTTCCTCTTCAACGTAGCCGTTTCCTTGACGTGCTTCATATTCTGCTGGACATTTTGTGCGGTAACTCTCAAAGGGTGGCTGAAATCACGCACACTGCCCCGCCCTTCATACCGCGGTTCTATATGACCTATGGACAACAACGCCCTCCGATGAACGTAGTCTATTCCGTTGGTAATTATTGTGTTATATACAAAGTATCCGTTCATATTTCTCGCTCTTAGCTTTGTCCTAGTTTTCCGGATATTACCCTTCCCCACATCTGACTCCGTTAACTTTAAATTCACGTCGCCCACCCAACTCAGTTCTTTCACGTTCAATATAATGCACTATAATATATATTGTTTATCGAGGTATCGTCATGAAGATGAAGCCATCAGAACGAAAATCTCCCAGCGCTCCCTCAGAGTTCCCTTAGCTGACAGTGATGTCTCACAAGTATAAGGTTTTGACTGCTCCTCTGCGATGAGTTGAGGCCTAAGGACACCGAAGTTGGACGACAACCAGTGAGGTCTTATATCATCAGTGGCAAGACGACAGGTACGCTACACGGTGGCGATATTAACCACTTAACACAGTCGCGAATGGACTTTGCAAGGTTGAGGCAAGGCAAAGGCAAGTCGAGGTTCGAAAAGGTGGCGCCGGGAATGCTCCGCTGCGGCCAAATCCGAATTGACCGTGTCAGTGTGACAATTGTTCCCGGCTGCTGGCGCAGCTTCAATAGCAGCAACGACCATTCACCTATACTCGCACCCATACGAGCCTATAATACGCCGGCACGGCACTCTTTTTTAGCATAAATGAGGAGGTGCATCATGCTCCCTACGATCCTCGCTCTATCTTGCGGTGGAGCAGCACAACTTTGACCTCGAAAGCGAACGGACACAGGCAGTGATTGCACAGCCATATTGCGCGACAAGGATTCGTTTGGCTTCTGCACCACTGGATACCACTACGCGTCAATCCACGGCGATTTCTCCGGTCGAGGACCTAGGACCTGTCTGCCACCCTCTACGAAATCCTCCCAATCCCCTCAGTCATACCCCCATACGCAAAAATCTACATATGTATGCTTTCAGAGATATACTTAGTCTCGGAGCTATTGGGGCCGTCCTCACTTGCCCATTACAGCTGGATCCGCTTGCCGTATGGGAGGTAATTCCGCCTGCAGTTGTTGGACCGTTGTATCGGAGAGGAAGAGACTGAGGTATATCAAGAAGGCTTTCGCATTGAATTCCACGTTGAACGTGGCACTTGAGAGCAGACTAGGGCCCTCAGTCTATGCTTGCGTTGTGCCCATACTTATTTGTGGCTTCTAGCATTAGTGCTGTACACTCTGGGATATGTTTGCACGCGGTCGCTCGGAGATTCATGACTTGTACCGATGATAAGCGGTGTGTTCAATCTATTGAGCACTAATTCGAGACTGATTTATATCCGTACCGTGCTTCTTGAAACACCTATCTACTGAAAAATTGCTCTGACCCTGGCAGTAATGGTGTCAAATCACCGTGTCATGCGAGTATGCAGCGCAATTTTCACGTCGTGGCCATTTTGACAACGCAACGGGGAATTCGGGAATCATGGCTGTGCAACTCGTTGCCTAGTCTCGAAACACGCTCTTCCGCTTCAAGGGTGCACTATGCGTCGTGCGTGCTGTACGTATACCCACAGCGCTTTCTAAAGCAGGCTAAAATACCTCCTTTCACCTCTCGCTCTGGCACCCAGCATTTTCACGCCATGGCTACAACATCTACCATTGAAAATTATCCTCATTCAGATGCTTTCCACTTTGCGGAAGCAACAGCTAGTTCTCAGTCCCTCCTACCCGACGCAGAGAACCAACAACCACCTGGTTATCCACCATCCAGCGACTGCCCTGCACCCTCAGGACCTACCTTGATGAGCAGATTACAGATCAACCTCTCAATGAGCTTTCGACATCGGCCGGTCAAGACCGGCGAGAAAGTACCTCTCTCTATCTACCAAATTCTCGCCATCGTCTCAATTACTCCCTTATCATCAATGGGTATGGCCTTCCTAATGCTTCTCGGGCATTCAATTAGTCGGGAAATTGGCGAACTTGATTACCCCATCACATCATTCGTCATACCTGGGGCCATTGGGGGAGCGGTGTGGGCCGTAATTTGGCTCGCATTTGTCGGGGTATTACTTTTTGTCCTTCCATGGAAACTCGACTCGGACTCCACCCAGGATCCTTGTGTAGGCCATAACGGATTACGTATCCTCTGTTGTGCCCTGGCCTTTTCGACAATTTTTGCAGCTCCTCCGTTGGGCGCTCTGGTCTTGCAGAGGTTACTCCACCTGG